GATCATAAGGGAAACCCATCATCCTTGAGCCTAAATGTAATATTTAATATCATTAGACTGGGGGTTTATCCTTGAGTATGTTGAGAAGAAAACTGATGTTCAATTTTGAGGGAAAAATAGAAGAATTATCTCGAAAATTGGTGAGTAGGATGACTCCTTTTTGGGGATGGGGTTGATTATACTTCAATTTTCTCCTGAGAAGTCCATACATATGTCATTAATTAGGATAGTTCAGCAAGGATTGAGATCCAATTAGAATACTACATTCCAATTTTGACCATCTCCTGGTTCATTTGTTTATGTATTTTGCTTTTAAAATAATAATTAAGCAAAATAATAATTGAACTTGATATGTGCCAGGCACTATAGTAGGCTCTTTCCCAATGTAATAACTTACTTATTCCCTGCCAAAAAACTTCTGTAAGATGGGTTTAACTGTGTTCATTTGACAGGTGATGGAGCTAAAGGTAGAAGAGGGTAGTCACCTACCAAAAATCTCACAAGTAACAAATCTCAAAGCTGGAATTTGAGCTTGCAGCTCTATGGTCCCAGAACCTTTTGCACTAACTCATACTGCCTTCTACAGTATTTGCAAATACACAGGTGCCCAGTCTAAACAACTCATGCTAAGGGAGTTCAGGGCTGGGGTGATGAACAGAAGTTTCACTGCAAAGGTGAAACTAGGAGGTGAGGGCTAGTCCTGACATTAGGTAACAGAGATGCATTTGAATACAGGAAAATATTTGCTTCTCTGAAAGTCTAGCCTGGGTAGAAACTGTCCCAGACTGTATCAGAATGCCAAGTCCTATGGTGTGTTGGTTTCATGTTCATGGGTAAAGTTAGGCTGGATTTTTGTTTTTAATTCAGGAATCCAAAAGACATCTTTCTTTTTTTTTTTCTGTTGAGGTTTATATTTGCTTGTATGGCAAAATACTGGAACGAATGTGATGCAGCAGAGAAAAAAAAAAGCAGCTTTAATATAAACCTACTCTTTCCTCCCTGCGAGGCCAAAAGTTTCAGCAGAACACTCCATTGCTCTAATTCCATTCGGTTACAGCTGCTCACCATTCAGAAGCCAAAACTCAAGAGACAAGAGTTGGTGGGAGCAAAAGCAAGTTTATCTGGAGGGCCAGCAAATTGAGAAGAGGGTAGACTAGTGTCCTAAAGCACCATCCTAAGTCAGTACAAATTTTAGTCTCTTTTTAAGTTAAGCACAGGGGAAAAGGAGGGGGTCAGAATCAAGAGGTAACCAGTGATCACAGACATCTGCGTGTCAGTGAGGGTCTGAGAAGGGTGGGAATTTCTTTGTTCTTGGTCAGATCACAATGCTTCTATAAACAAGTTATAGAACACAGTTAACTATATTTAACAAAACATAGTTGTTTACATACTTCTCCTTTAATCCCAGAGTTAGTTTAAAAAACTACATGATTGCTGTTTTTGTGTATTATCTCAGTGTTCTAAAATTATCCTAGCCTACATACAGGAATGGGTAGAGGCCCCTTCAACAAAAATGGAGTTAGTTATTTTAGTTCTTTGGCTGTTTCATTGTTACACATTTGCTTTGGGCACACAGCCTTGGTCCCCCCCATCCCCTATTTCAACCCTACTGGGGTTCTCCGTATAACAAAACACCTTGTGAGTTTTATGTCAACAGGGAAATATTAGAGAATAGTATATGTTCCACAACTTTGGGCAACATGAACCTTTGTGAGCAGGACATTAGCATTTCCTTTTCCATCATTATTGAACTAATTTTGTGGTGCAAAATAGAGGGGGTGATGATGTCACCTTGGGGACGAGAAGTGGAACTGTGAAGCAAGTTCCTCAGGGCCTCCACACACCTGCCTAGCTCTCCACACAGGGCTCTCCATTCTTGGAAAGGATCAGAACTTTCACTGAGGTTTTTTTTTTATGTTTCCTTATATCACCTCCTGGTTTTATATTTATTCCATGTTTCTTTATATCACATGAATTAATCTTATTGTAGAGAGAGGAGGTGCAATGTAACCATTAAAAACAGGGACCATTGTGGAAGACAGTGTGGTGATTCCTTCAAGACCTAGAGGCAGAAATACCATTTGACCCAGAAATTCCATTACTTGGTACATACCTAAAAGAATATAAATCATTCTATTCTAGTATAAAGATACATGCATGTATATGTTTCTGGTAGCACTACTCACAATAGCAATGACATGGAGTCAACCTAAATGCCCATCAATGATAGATTGGATAAAGAAAATGTGGTACATATACACCATGGAATACTATGCAGCCATAAAGAGGAATGAGATCATGTCCTTTGCAGGGACATGGATGGAACTGGAAGCTGTTATCCTCAGCAAACTAATGCAGGAACAGAAAACCAAATACTGGATGTTCTCACTTGTAAGTGTGACTTGAATGATGGGAACACATGGACACAGGGAGGGGAACAACAGACACTGGGCCCTGCCGGAGAGTAGGAGGATTGAAGAGGGAGAGCCTCAGGAAGAATAGCTAATGCATGCTGGGCTTAATACCTAGGTAATTAGATGATCTGTGCAACAAACCACCATAGCACACGTTTACTTATGTAACAAACCTGCACATCCTGCATATGTGCCCGTGAACTTAAAATAAAAGCTGGAAATAAGAAAAAAAACAAAAAACAAACAAACAAAAAAACAAACACAGGAATTATGGAGGCAACTGGATCATTTCTGTCACTTTCTAGTTGTATGACCTTGGGTAAGCTACTCAATTTCTCTGTAAATAGTCTATAAAATGGGGAGGCAATTCCTCCCATCCAGGTTTGCTAAGAGGCTTAAATGTAAAACTGTATGACAGCCCTTAGCAAAATGCTTACTACATTGTAAATGCTCAAAAAGCGGTAGTCATTATTGTTATTGGTTTGTGTCTTTCATGTTTCTAGTTTCTTGGTGAGAGAGTCATGACTATTTTTTTTTTCTTCGACAGCAGGATTGTTGACAATGTCTGTGTCTACACCAGTGTTTCCTAATTGCCGATATAGGCCATGGAAGGAAAATGTTCTTGCCTTTGGTTTTCCCCTCCCTGCCCTGTTTCTGGGTGGTCTTTCCCCGCTCCCACCTCATCTCTTCTTCCACTCCTTACCCTCCACCTCCAGATTCAGGGTAGAGAATATAGGCGTGCTGTTACCAGTGTTCAGCATAATCTTAATGGAAAAATGCTATTCTTCATAATCTCACAATACTAAGCTGCTTCTGTTAACAAAAAACTATTTATTGTACAGACCAAAAAACCTCTGGTGACTGAATTTTCTCTATTTTTTTCCAATCAGTCATGCAATATACACTTAATACAACTCTGAGACTCCTTGATAACAAACTAGCAAAAATGAGGATAAAACACTTTGCAGACTAAAAGTTCCATTTAAATCCTTGTTTTTGACCCAAGCAAATACAGGGGTAGGAATGCTGAATGTTCAAAAGAGTTGTCTCTATCCCCAAGAGAAGTGGCCTGGAAGGGAGGGAGAGGTCATCATCAATGAGGTGTCATTGGCAGTCATGCTGACATGGTCTCAGCCATTTGCTGATTCCCTTGGAAGGGTGGCTCCACTCGGGGCCCCGCTCAGGGTCTGGGCCAGCTCACCCCCACTCTCTATTCCTGCTGTGACTGTCTGCACAGCCACGCCATCAGCCCAGCAATTCCTCTTGCCTTCGCAGAAAATTCACGCTTTCCTGGCACTTAGAAATGGTAGTAGATCTGGAAAAGGAAATCAAAGTGAGGTAGACAGGGTAGAGCCCAGTGTGGGAGTCACTGCATGAGTAAGTCTGGGTTCAAGTCTGGGCTCTAATGCATCCTGGCTGGGAGCCTCTGAGTAAATAATTCAGCTTCTTGAACCCGATTATCTGTAAAACAGTGCTTCCTTTATTCATCGTTAGATATTGAGTGAGTATTTACTGTATGCCAGCACTGTTCTAGGTGCCCACTGGTGCTAGGGATGGGGGTGAGGGGCTATGGGTATAGAGAGTCCAGGTTTAAAATAAGTGAGAGAAGAATTCACTGAGAAGGTGACATCTGAGCAAACACTTGAATGAAGTGAGGGTCTCTGGGGGAAGAACGTTCTTCAAGAGGTAGCTAGTGCAAAGGCCCCGTGGTAGGAAGGAGCCTGATGTGCTAGAAGCCCAGCGAGGGGGCCAGTGTGGCTACAGCAGTTGAGAGAAGCAGACAATAGCAGAGATGGGCCAGCTCCCTAGCCAAGGTGTGTGAAGCCACATAGTTCTGGGAAGGATTGGGCTTTCACATTAAGATAGGATGGGAAGTCATTGGAGGGTTGTGAGCCAAGGACTTATGTTTTGCGAGGGTCACTCTGGTTACTGTGTTGAGAATAGACCATAGGGAGGCCTACCCGGGAAGCAGGGAAACGGGTTAGGAGGCTATTGTCTCTGCGTGACAGGTGGTGGAGTGGACTAGGGTGTAGCTGTGGAGGTGGTGAGAAAAGGCTGAATTCTGGAGATAGCTTAAAGGAAGAATGAATAGCGTTTCTGATGGAGTGGATGTGGGTGTGAGAGAAAGAAAATAGGAGAACTCAGAGGTTTTTGGCCTGAGCAGTTGGAAGAATTGTGTAGCTATTAACTGAGATGGGAAAGCCGGGGGAGGAAGGGATGGGAGCTAGATGGAGAACATGATGATAATAATAATTTTGCCCTGCCTCCCTCACAAGACTAAATGTGATGATTTATGTGTAATTTACCCCGCAAATATGCTCTGTGGTATTCAAAGGGCCCTCTCCTTCCTGTACAGAAGTGGTCTATTCTCTGGACATACTCCTCTCTCTCACTCCTCAGGTGGTGCCAGTTGGTGGGGGAGAATGTTCCTGACATGTGGACCCGAATCTGGCAGGTATCATCTGAGCTACGTTTAGGTGGATATTTTGGGATAGGTCCTCACAACTGTGACTCAAGTATGACTTAACAGTTAATATCTTTATTTCTCCCTAACAGAATATTGTTTCTAATTTTTCTTTTATATAGCAACTGATGTTGCCATGCAGATCCCTTGGTTGCTATGAGATGGTAACATCACTCTGCCCCGCGATTGGCCAGTGCCTCCTCAGCTGTGGTGCCTCCCAGGCTGTGTGGTTCTCATGTGGGCCACTGACACAGAGCTGTTACTATGGTGAACTTTACAATTTCCTTTGATTGGTGGATTTCAGAAATAGGCCATCAGTGGAATTCATTATATTCAGCTAAGTAAAAATGAAAAATACCGTAACTTTCCCCTCATCACCAACAGGAAGGAAACGTGACCCTTCATGACATAATAAATCGCTGTTAGGTAACTTAGGATCCTTCAGGAGACTGAAGCGGGATGATCCTCCTATGCCAAATTTGGGTGGGAAATATTTTCCCTGTTGCTTTGAGTTGGCTCTTCAGAGTTAAGAGCAATGGGTCAACCAGAGCTGGAACTTCAGCGTTGGGAGGAGGTGTGGGATGGGGCATGCACTGAAATGTAAACTCTATTGTCTCTGGAGTGATGGGTGATGCGGGCAGCCTGAGTGTGGAGGGCAGTTTTACATCTCAGGACAATGTTTTCTCAGATGCTCTTCCAGAAAAGAAAGCCAGGAATACTCCTGGCTGGAGGCGGCATGCCTGGGGTCAGAGTCAAAGTAAGGTTTGTGCTGTCTGAATCCTTTCTCCCACTCCCCCAGCCTGGCTCAGGTTCTCACAGGTGGATTGGTGAGTCCTGGCCAGTTATGCTTCTGCTCATCTCTACTCTCGGCAAATGGGAAAAGAGAGTGAAGGACTGAGTTTTAACTCTTCTAATTTTGTAACCTGACTCTCTATAAGAAAAACTGGGAGAAAGACCGATGAAACCGAGAGAAGAGGTGAATTATTTTAAGTGCATTAGATCTACCTTTCTAACAAGTCTTGTTTGGAGTGATGGGGGTGTGGGTGGGGGGAGGGGAATGCCCAGGCTAAGGAGAGGGAGAGAGTCAGGGAACCACAAAAACAAAGCAGGTAACAGATTAGAGCGCTAGGGCTAGTGTTTAACACCCAGAGCTCATCTGGGTTTTAAAACCCAGAGTTTTAAAACCTCTTTGCTCTATGTGACAAAGCTGTTTTTAGTAATAATCGCAACATGAAATGAAAATAATGATGGCCAGAAATGTTCTTTTATGAAATTTTGTGTCATTTCAATAAAAACTAAAAATACAATAAATACTACAATCCAAAAAAAGAAATAAAGTTATAGTATAATATTTTAATTTCATTAATGTATTTTTTTGAATAAAGGGATGAAAACTTATACCTATATATTGGTCTTTCACAGTCATGAATAGTGATTTTTTGGTTTCTGTTTTTGTGATTAACTTCTGCACATTTGTCAGTGACTTTGTCAAAGTTATTTTTCTTCCCATATTCATGAAGTTTCTATCTATCTTTGATCAAAGAACATTTTTCATTAATTTTAATTTTGAAAGCTTTCTTTCACATGAAGGAACAGATTAAATAAATAAGAAAAAGCCTTAAACATAAGGATACATTTGGCAGAAATACATAAAATCCCATTTCACAATAAATTCCAGAAAATTTAAACACAATAAAAAACTCCAGGCAGTCACATAGAATGACAGAATTGAAGTAACTCAAGTTCTGTTTGTCTTTACAATCACTGAGCTATCATTGTTTATTTCAATCAATTGTTTGAAAACAGGAATATGTAGTATAGTACCAGGGAGGCTCAGACTCAAATTGTGCCCAAAGCAAGCTTTGTTTTGTACTTACTCTCAAAATAAATGCATGGAGTTACTTCTCTGAATCAACTCCCATGTAGAATGCAATGTTTACTAAGGAAGGCACAATTTTAAAAAGTGCTGAGTTGAAGCATACATTTATATTCCTAAAACTCAACTGCAACTTCAGCGATTGTATAGAACTTAGACCAACAAAAGATTTTTTTTGGTGGTGGGGAGAGCAGTTTGTCACTGATACTGTCTAGAATTGCTTGCAGTGGTGATAATAAAAAGCACACTGGCTTTCAGTGCGTTTTATTATTGTTTTTAAGTCCCTTCCAGGCTATGGACCCCTTGATTGCCTGCCCTGGGGGGTGGACCCATCTTCTTGCCCTGCCCTTGGAACCACACTGCAGTGGAATCAAGCATCATTAGTTTAAATGCCTCCTTTCTCATAAAAACGTTGGTGATTCCTGCAGTTTTGTGTGCCGTTTGTGCTAGCTCTTGTGTAGCCTAACATTTCCACCTCAATGTTTGCCATTTTGTTCTATTTTGTGACACTGTTTTTGACCTCTAATTTCATTTTGCAATGATCTCAGCACTGGGTTTATCTTTACCAATGAAACGTGTGATAAATGCTTTGCTGAATCTTCATAACTGGTTCAATCACATGGGACAGTGGAATCAGAGACATGAAGTTGCAGGAACCATTAAGGGGTTAGAATGGATAAGGGAAAGAGAAAGAAAAAGTAGCAGAAGCCATGACATGCTCTTGTGGGTTTGCTTGTAAGACACTCTCTTTTTTTTCTGTCACTGCATCAGACAGATATGTTTAGATACACCATGCATCAATACATGGTTTCCTGGGTAGGGTTAAAAAGCTCTGGTGCCTGAAATTCTACCTGAAATTCTGGTGTTTGAAGTTCCGTATATTCCTTTAGGTTAAATATTGTTTGCTGTCCATGGGCCTCTGGAAAGCAACTACCTCTGGGAGAAGTAACACATCAAATCTTTAACACTTTAGTATAAATGAGCATATGAGATTGCTTCCTCTGTGATCTGATCGGCAGGCTGGGAACCCTGGGTATGGAGTCATGGAGACACCGCTAAACTCAGCCTTGAATGTATTTCTTCGCTTTAAGAAATTCCAACTCCTACTTGGAGGAAAACAACAGAAAAAGACCCCCTCTCTTGATGATAGGTCTGAAAGAACTTCCTATGTAAAGGATAGCATATTTTAATTTTATTTCTTTCCCAAGAACAAGAACATTCTCCTGACCTGCAACACAGCCCCTCACTTTGTCCAAAGAGTGCTGGAGGCTTCGTGCTATCATTTGTGTCTCATTTTTATTCTATTCACATATGTCTAGGGAGCGGGTCCTTTGAGATTTCTTCTTGGCTCTGCTTCAGGCTCCATAATAGCAATGGATCCACACTTCTTAATTCAGCGAGTGCAGGTGGCAGCAAGCCAAAGCTGCCTCCATGGAGTGTGTGTGCAGGAGTGGCGTTTTCAGTGTGCATTGAAAAATCAGGAGCCAGCCAGGACAAAAGCCCAGAGTGACAGTGTGGCCCTCAGAAGGGTGCCTGCACGAAGTTTAAAAAAAAAAAAAAAAGGTTCTGTGCCAGCTTTTGTTCCTAGGAGCATCGTGTGTGGGTGCATGCGTGTGCCCACGTGCACACGGCTAGTTGCTCACAGAGCTGCTACCTGATAAATCACAGAGGCAGGTTGTAGAAGTTGAACCTGGAGAGTGTTCAGAAGGCAGCTGAGAGTGTGTTCACACAAGGCTATCAAGGGCAAATGAAGTGGCCTTGACCTCGTTAGTAATTTGTCTCCTCTCAAGGTTTTAAAATATATTTGTATCATTATATACCCTCAGGACATTCATTAATTGCCTATCTGGATGGTTCTGTTAATATGTATTTATTCCAAACACAAGTTGTTAATGGGAAATACTAAAACAAATTTGGATGTGCAATGGTTTTCATTATTCTAGAATATGAAATGACATATGTGAATGTGGTACCACATACATTCACACTCCATTTCACAAGCAATTGTCCCTCAGTACATGTAATAGTGTTTTCCTAGGAATGTGTGTCTAACTTAAATCATTTTAAATAAAATCATCCTTTTTTTTTTTTTTTTTTTTGAGGCAGTGTCTTGCTCTATTGCTCAGGCTGGAGTGTAGTGGTATGATCTTGATGCACTGCAACCTCTGCCTCTGGGGCTCAAGTGAGCCTCTCACTTCGGCCTCCCAAGTAGCTGTGACTACAGGTGTGTGCCACCATGCCTGGCTAATTTTTATATTTTATGCAGAAACAAGGTTTTGCCATGTTGCCCAGGCTGGTCTTGAACTCCTGAGCTCAAGCCGTCTGCCTGCTTTGGCCTCCCCAAGTGCCGGGATTACAGGAGTGAGCCCCTGCACCTGGCCAATAATCACACTTTAATCACTCTAAAAATTTAGAGTTCCGGTTGCAAAACTTTCCTTTCTGCAAAGAATGAGTTAAGAATGAGAGGGTCATTGGCCGAGTCATTTTTCCCTCTGTGGGCTTAGTATTCTCAAAAGAGGGTGAGTGTAATGAAAGATTTCTAAGATCCCTTTTCAGCTTTCTCATTCCGGGTTCTAAAACTGTTGTGTAGTGTGAATAATCACCTCATAATGTGTCCATCATCTTTTAAAATCTGAGATTTTTACTCTTGGCTGCCTTAAGAGGGGTTCAACTGAATTGGGACTAGCAGGGTGTCTGAATTCGTTACTCATCTCCTTTATTCTTTTGGGATGAAGTGGAACAAGTGATAAGTGATAAAGATATAAAAGCACACACAGATCAACAGGAAGACAGACAGGAAGAGAAGTAGAGACGCGTCAGCATTTTCCCCAGACAGCTTGATCTCAGAAAGCAGAAGTGGAAGTCCCTGTTGTTGGCTCACAGCTTTAGTGCACTGACCTGTCAGCCACAAGCCTTTCCTGGAACCCGGTGGGTTTCAAATGCAAGTGGCTGTGCCGCGGGTGTCTATGCAGGAGAGGAGTCTGTGAACTGTATGAGTTACAGGAGGTGAAATTCACAGGGTCAATGCTGGGGTAGAGCCCTCCCATCTTCACCCTGTGAAATTGTCCCCAAACCAAAACATTCATTGAATGGGTTTTTTCTTAGTATGTCTATTGTGGGAAATTAAAAGCCTCTTCCTTGATGATAGCAAAAATTAAGTAATTTTGTGGCATCAGTGGCTTTTGGTAGTATAAACCTACTCTTGGAGCAAAGGTCTATTGGCTAAGAATATTTATTAATATATTTTGAAGAGAATTGACAGCAGAATATGGTCTGTCTCTAAATCACACAAATTACTCAATTCATAGATGTGGAACTGCACCATTTACAAAAAATAACTTGGTTTAGTTTAATATCCATTTTCTAGGCGCCTATGCTGTATCAGGAGTACACTAGGGATGAATAGATCAAACCTTCTTTGCTGTATTTTAATATTCCTAGATGTTCCCCTTAGTGTCAGCTCTGTTTTCCA